TCCCAAGTGTAGGAGTGTCGAAGTAATAAATAACCCGGCAAGACCGGGGTCGAACCATAGAGAGGTTAATTGTACAAATTATAAATAACAGTAATACAACAACAATAACAATAACAACAACAACAACAATAATAGTAATAACAACAATAATAATAATAAAGAAAAAGAAGAAGAAAAAGAAGAAGATGAGAACTTCGAGATAGACTATTAACGTAAAGATTTAACAACGATAACAATAAATATCAAGGTTAGAGGATCCACTAATGGTATGTCAAACAAGTATAGTATAAACTCTTATTAGTCAATTGGAAACCACACATAGGAGGTTCCAATCGGATTATAAATTGTTAACATGATTACATTAGTCATCTTATTCAATTAATGTTAATACTTATAAATCTCGTCAAGCATTCATGATTATAACTTATGTTAACAACAAATCAAGTTCCTTTCATAGCTCAGGTGTCGGTTATACCATACAGTATGGGCTATGAAAGTGTCAAGCATTTGTTGTACCAAGTGTTATACGACATAAATCAAGATTACTCATTCAACAAGCAAAGTATTAAAAAGTGAACAAGATAACAAATACAAAACATGTTACTATCAAACATTAAAGTTCATATTAAGTTTACACTATACTTATTCTTACACCATTAGTGTAACCTTTTCACCTTGATATAATAAACTTAGCTAGACATAATGAAAGAAAGAAAAATAAATAAACAAAATAAGAACATAAATAAGATAAAAGTTATCTAAGTAAATGAAAGGAAATGAAAGGTATAAACTTGATATTAATGAAAGCAAAGCATAAACATTACAAAAAATACAAAAAGAGAAAGCAAGAGCATGATCTTGATCTGAAAACCAAGATGCCTAAATGCATGGCAAATGCCTCCTTTTATAGGCCAAAAATGAGAACTATTGATTTGATGACTAATTGATGAGTGGGTGACCAACTTTTGACTTGGTGACAATCCTTATCTTCTCTTGTCTGCCAAACGTCATTGATAATGTCAAAATTAGAGCCACTTGAAAACATGAAAGTTGTAGGAAAGTGTCTCATCTTTCTTGTGTAAAACATTCAGGTCATTTGGACTTTTAGAACTTCAGATATGGGTCAAACACTAAACAGTGTTCGAGTTGAAAGACAGAGTCGGGTTTCTTTATTGTTGCTACAATTTGGACTTAAAAATGGCATTTTTAGATCTTGGGCTCTATATGAAAGTTGTAGGCCTATATCTTACCTTTCCATCCATATAAAGTAGACCTAAATCTGAGATCTATAGCTCCAGATATGATCCAATTATCGAACAGTGTTCCGGTATGGACTACACCGGCATCTCTTTTCTAAATTTGGCCATTTCTTTGTCCTTTCAATTTCAATTCTTAAATTCATCAATTAATCCTTTCATTTATGTGATAGGTCTACATTTAAAATAAATATTTACCATAAATTAAAGGTATCTTATATTATTAGATATATTATTATAAAATATGCTTTAGTTAAGGAGTTATTGATACTTCGAGTGCGAAATAATAAAATAAAACCTTGATAAAAATACACTTTTAAGTACTAATCAGCTGACTGGTTGGACAACACTATTGGTGTTGAGAGAACGGTAAGTGGTAACAATAGTAAAATCCATTTAGAAAAAGAAGAGAAAAAACCTAGCTACAAAAAAGAAAAGAAAAAAAAATTGATGGCAAAATATTCTGATACAAGTTAAGAATAATTAGAAGGTTAACTTTTAATTTAGCCCACTCTTTTCTATTTATATGTATATGTAAAACAATACACAATAATTAAAATAGAAATTATAACACTTTAGAAATGCTTATAATATTTATTATATATTATACATTCCATAATAGTCCAAAGTAACTACCTTCTCCTTTTCTCTCCAAGCAATTTCCCGCCCTAAAATCCAAAATCCTAACGCTAACGATGCCTCACCGTAAAACCCTAACACCAATCGCAACCGCAAATTCAAACCTCAAAAGGCCAAATTCAAGTCCCCGCCGCGAACAATTACTTCCGCCGCCGGCGAAGACGCTGGCTCGCGTCCATCCTCTAGAACACTGCACCGTTCCGTATTTTAATTTCGAATCTGAAGCACCAAAAGAAGTAAAGCTCTCCGTCGCTAATGCAGTCAAACTCGACGATGGACGTGAAACGCAGCGTTTCAGGACTCACGATGGGCTGAATGGTGATTTACGTGTCGATTCCAGGCGATTTGATGTGTTTGAAATGAATGCAGATTTTGAAGAACCGTTCCGTATTTTAATTTCGAATCTGAAGCACCAAAAGAAGTAAAGCTCTCCGACTCTAATGCAGTCAAACTCGACGATGGACGTGAAACGCAGCGTTTCAGGACTCACGATGGGCTGAATGGTGATTTAAGTGTCGATTCCAGGCGATTTGAGGTGTTTGAAATGAATGCAGATTTTGAAGAAGGAAAAGACGACGATTGTGATTATGAGAGCGAGGAGGAGGAAGAAGAAGAAACTGTGAATGAATGTAATAGCGATAGCTTTTATGGAGGAGTTTGCTGACGGGAAATGTGAATTTGTTAGATTTTGAGGGTGAAGAAGAAGTCGGGAAGGAGGAGAGATTGTTGGCTGTGACGCGGTGTTTTGTCAGGGCGAAAATTTATGTCAAAGCGGGAGACGGTGGGAATGGAGTGTTGGCTTTTCGGCGCGAGAAATTTGTGCAAATGGGGACCTTCTGGAGGGGATGGATGTAGAGGATGGAATGCTTCTGTAGAAGTTGGTGGTTCAATGAATTCTTCGTTGCCATTTCGGAATATAGTGTATTATAGGACGGGGAGAGGGGTCCATGAGCAAGGGATGAGCATGGATGGAGCGAAAGGAGAGGATGTTGTGGTGAAAGTGCCGGCGGGGATGGTTGTTTGGGAGTCTGGGAATGAGGAGGTTTTGTTGTGGTCATGCCTGGTGGGAGAGGTGGGAGAGGGAATGCTGCGTTGAAGTGTGGGAGTGATAAGGAACCTAAGATTGTGGAGAATGGTGAAAAGAGGGTTTAGAAATAGTTAGCGTATTTTTAATCGTGATTTGTGTTTCGCTGTTAGTCGTTAGGGCTACTTTCTATAGGTTGCCTTTTGGATTGTATTATAAATTGTTTGATTTTAGTGTTTGAATTGTTTTTTTGGCATGGTGTTTTCGTATTGATACTTTTTGTAGTACTGTGATTTAATTTGATTGATCTTACTTTGCTTTGATTAAAGCCATGATCATGAGAATGGTGAAAAGTCAGTATAATATACATTTTGAACTCCAATTGGTTTGCTTTGATTAAAGTGATTGATCTTTCTGCTAACGTTCTGCATTTTTAATGTGCTGGAGTTGGTTTATCTAGTGTTGCATGACTAAGAATGCTATGTTTGATTATATTGTCAAGGTTAATACAATAAAGTTGTTAAATTTCAATTGTTTGTTATGCTTGAGGGATATAGCTATATATTCTAGAAGAGGTTTTTTTGATATGTGCTCATAAGAAGTAATGGCGTGCATGAACAGGTGGTTGGAGCTGGTCGCAGAAGTTGGAATAGTGGGTGCCCCAAATGCTGGGAAAAGCACACTTTCGAGTTTCACAAAGTGCTGCTCAGCCGGCATTTGCAAATTGTCCTTCTACTCCTTTACTTCCTAACCTGGGTGTAGTTTCATTTGATTATGATTCTACAATGGTATTAGCAGACCTTCCAGGTTTACTTGAAGAAGCGCATTGGGGTTTTGGTCTAGGTCAGAGTTTCTACCAGACACAGAAAGGTGTTCTGCTCTGGTACGGGCTTTCTATCATGAGCTACAGCTAATTTAATTATCAGATCCGTGGTTATAACACTAAGTTTTGTAGTTTGAGCTTGTCATGCTGTCCTGCCTTGGCTCTGTAAGATTCTCCATCCTTGAGTTCTTTTGGGTCACTGGAAATCACGTGATGTGCATGATATTTTTCTGACAATTGGACCAGTGACTTGGTGCATAGTCTAATTTGACAAGAAGATGAAAAAACCGAGTAATGTTGATCAAACAACATCGAACTTAGACAGAGCTCCTGAATGATAATTTGAATTAATGTAACAATGTGATCCATATCTACCATCTCTTCACCCATGGTTCTCTTATTTTCTTTCTTTTCTTGTCTTTTTCATCAAGGACATTTGGATGGGCTTCATAGTCGCCTTTTGGATGGGCATCATCCTCTCCTATTATTTGTTTGATATTTCTACTGATAGAGTCTATATTGTTTGGGATTCCTAGGTACATGTTGATAGCTCTTCACAGCAGCCAGAATTTGAGTTTATTCTATTTGTCTTGAGCTGGAAATGTTGAGTCCTGAGCTTCATGAGAAGACCTATGTAGTTGCCTACAAGAAAATGGACCTTCTGGAGGCATACGAGAACTGGCTGTTATTCAAGTAAAACCACAAGCACATGGGATCGAGACTTTTTGCACGAGTGCTGTGAAGAGAGAAGGTACACATGAAGTGATCCGTGCTGCTCATAAGCTTCTGCAAGAAAGTAATGAAGCCAATAAGGGGTTTGAAGGTCAAATTTCTACATCTAATTTATTTTTTAAATTGACTTTAGTAAAGGCTTAGTAGTCATGCTTGTGCTCTTAAAAACATGTTTCGTATCCATTATTTCATTCCTACAGTTTCTTGAAGAGCTTTCATCTGTTTTAGGTTGGTTCCATCCAGAAAATTTGAAATTTGAATCATGTTTCTGATATGGTTCAAAAGCAGCAAAGAGCTCTTATCATTGACTTTGAAATCTCTTATGACAACGCATCCAATACATGGCATGTAGTTGGGGCTGTTTATACTATATTTTTCTGTCACCTCTTGAGTAAGCATCTTTGGTTGATTATGTTCTTGTTCATCTCACCTTTGCTTGCCAAATGTGATTTCAGATTATACTGTATGTATTCATATATGTCTTCTGTCTGAACATATGTTCCAGTAACCTAGCAAGGTGATGCTGACTACGTTAGGTTTTAGTCCAGGTAGAGCGTGCGAAATCCTTGCAGTCATTTTTACTAGAATCTCAAATTGAATTCTCTACACTTTTCTATCTTGGCCAGTGGATTACCAAACCGCAAACCTGCATTGTTTACCTGGTTTGGCCAATTCAGTTGACATGAGCATTTTGTGGATGTTAGCATCCATACAACGATTAAGCACAGTAGAACCTTGCTGGAACGAATTAAACTTGTTTGTAATACAGAATCATCAGGAACTGTGTAACCTTGGTTGTGTACTATTCTCATTTCTGTATTATTGTTTGCATTTAAGTTGCCTGGTTATCATTGATTGGGAAAAAATCATCATCTTGTTTAATAGCCTGGTTCTATTCAATTGCTTCTATTTTCTATTAAGGATCCATTTTCTCCAATTATGTTTGTGCATATTTAATCAATGATTCAGTTGCTACTCTATGATAGAACAAAATTTGCCAGAACTTGAATGCTTGTGTGTGATCATTGCTTCCCATTGGACATTTGACTATACTTTTGTTGTCAGTTTCCATTACATCTGGCATGTTGTGGATTACATCATTTATATTTTTCAGATAACATCCTTTCCTCCTGGTTGTCTCTACTCTGTGTTGCATCTGGAGTTTTTAATGCATAATTTTGAACAGATATAAAGATTCTGAGAGAAGATTCCAACATGTGTTGGAGGCTTGTGGTGTTAACAAGCCACTCTTGAAGATGGGAGTCAAGGAAGGTGACTCTGTGATTGTTCGAGAGGTGCGTAGAGCTTTTATCCTCTTGATGTGTCAACTTAGCTCACCATGACTTTCTTAAACTCTCTCTCTCACACATGTACACACGCAGAGACACGAATGCACTCAAAGTATGTTCTTTCATAGATTCTAGCATGCAAACTTCCATCACGGTTAGTTGCCACTAACATTGGCGAGACCATGTAAATCAGGTAAGGTACATTATCAACTTTGAGTCCTTAACTGCCTCTGTTGAAGCCCACAAGCTTGTAACTGATTCAACAGAGATTCCAATTTTTAAGTGGATAACAACTCATATTTCTCATGATGCCCTATTCTTTTCTCAAGCCAACCTCATGTCCACCTGAAGATTCTTTTAATGATTGTCATCTTTTTATAGAATTTTATTCTAGTCCATTGTTCGCAGAATTCTGATTGGTCTATCGAATGTGAAGTTATCATTTGATCCTACCAAATGGAGTGGGAGTAATCCTTCTGTTCTTAATACCAAGAGTATAGTGATTGAGTTTCTTAGTATCATGACCATAATGATAGAATACCTACATGGAGCAAAGTGACCACAATTTATTGCTCTTCTGCTTTTTGACAGAAAAGAGGACTTCTTCAGAGACATAGTAAAGCTTTTCCTTGAATATTTGCACGTGAGCCACTAGCATAAAACCATCTCGCGTGTCCTGTTCTTGTTTATATAACTGTCAATGCATTGTGTACAACTTTCTTATACCAATGGCATTGTTGCTTTTATTGGGTGCTAACTAGCAGCTATAGCGTAATTTCTGAAATTACTTTGGGTTACACACTTTAGCAATCCTTTGTTAATTTTTTCTGTATGTTTGAGCTCTAAGGGGTTGAAGAATTGCATTGCAGGCTCTGAAGTAGCTTCATGTGCAATTTTCCACATTGGGCAGATCGTGGTTGCGGCATATTTCATCCGACTGAAGGCATGCAGGTTGCTACAGATGTTCAGCAGTTGCTACATAAAATAACCATGTAAAGTAAACATATGCCATCTGGGAAGATGTGATGCTAGTTACCACTAGCAAAGGCAAATGAAAGTGGAGATCAAAGCTCTTTTGGCCCAATCCTGTTGTCTGATAATGAGATTACTTGAGATTGAGAACGTAAATCATAGATTCAGCACAAAATGCTAGAGGTCAGTATCTAGTTATCTATCCTTCTATTATTTGCAGGGGTGATGTTTAATAGATCTTGCTCAAATTGAAATAATGCTTGTGTAACCCCCTTGACTGAATTTGTCGAATAATTATGTCAGACCGATTTTCTTTCCATTTCCTGCCACTTCTCATCAGTTACAAAATTGCAAATGGTAGATGTGACAAAAAGATGGATATGCTATCTTTATGTCGACCTCTTCTTGAATTTATGTGGAAGTTACCCCTCTAACGATCATTGGAAAGAGCTAGCAGAACAAGAATTCAGATATGTAACAACTTGCTTCCGTTGTGGATCCTCCTCTCTGCTTTCTTGCCCCTGGAGGACTTTGGTGCTGCAATCCAACCGGTACAGCCCTTCACAATAGGATGACAATGTATATCCATTGATAAGGATTTGTACTATTCATACCAAAACCCGAACCCAAAATTACTATCAAATTCCTGACTTGAACTCGGACAGGTATGGATTTTCTATATATGAACTTGAACCTGATTGGTTCGGTACCCATTGGGTATCCACAACCCGAACCTGAATGTTAAACTTATAACTATTTAGTACATGATTAGCTTGTTATATATGTAATCTTTTCAAAATTTGAGATTATTATTTTTTATTTCAGGTTGGGTTCGGGTAATATTCATTCTGAACCTGAAACCTAATATTTTACCTTTGAGTTTTATCCAAGTACGATCGATTCTAAAAAATTCCTTCCTCAGGTTTTCAGGGTAGGGTGAAATTGCTGTCAGTATATATTACTCGAAACGAACTGATTGGTTAAGAAATTACATGAGAAGATCTCATTATGGGAATTCAGTTTCTTGGATGCAATCGATTTTGATAACTCTAATATATCAGGATTCCCAGGCACTGGATGGGTAATCCAACTAACCGTTTGTTGGATCAAATAGTTTGGGGTAAATTTGTTCTTTTCCAAATAGTTTCTCAAAAAAAGTTATCCAATTCTTTTTGTGAATCAATAAAATAATTCACCATATTTGAAGATATATACAACCTATGATTGTGATCATCTACATATAATGAAATATTCTACTTCAAAGTTATTTTTTTAAGAAGTTTTCACAATCGGATAATTATTAAAATGTTGGTTAATTAAGTTAACATAATGTTATGTTTTATTGATTCTAAAAAGAAAATTTTGTTATAAATTGAATAAATATAAAAAAAATAAATTTAAGTGAATAATTATAGACAAAAAAATATAAGTGATATAGCTTCTGCGTTGTATATCATATATTATAGTGGTCATTATATAAAAAAATTAGTAACTTACAATCTTTTAATAAGATCCCATACAATTTTAATGAAAAAAATTTTTATCATAATTTTAAAACCAAGATTTATAGGATAGGTCGGCTTGTCAATATTTTATTGATTTTGAATTTTAAAAAATAAAGGAAGAAATTGATTAGGTTTGATTTGTTATAAACTTGGATTAACTCATGCAACTAGTTCACCTAAAACTAGTTCACCTAAGTAAATCTTGATAGAAAACTTGTTTTCTTTGTATTATTTTGATATCTTAAAAAAAGTTAACTCTTTTAATTAATTACCTAAGTAGGATTATGTTTTAAAACTATAGTTAGATATGAATAATTTTTGTTATAAAGAATCAGTTTAGCTCCTTTCATTTTTTATAGGAAAAGGTTTTTATCCCTTTAATCTTGTACATGTTTCTCTTCTCTATAATATTTATGATGCCACTCATTAAAAAAACAGCTTATTTTGTATCACTAATTATCTGCTCTTTCGTGCAATAATTTTTGCAATAAAGAAAAAATCCTTTATATCCTTTTTTATATTAATATTTCAGAAAAAAAACATAATTTGTTGTAATGTAGAACTTGCACTCCCTTTGATTATAAATCATGTGCCATCTTTCAATAGATAGACACTAGTTTTTAGAATCGAAAAATATTGTGGTTGGATAAAACAAAATTTGAATTTAAAATTTAAGTTGCAAAGAATTATTTGATATTGTTATTAAACTTGATTTAATAGATTAACCTACTTAACTTTTTAACTTGTCCTATTTTAAAATTAACCCTACAAGATTGTCATGACACGATTTAGTTGACTTGATAAATTTAAAAATAAATCAAATAATCAGTAAAAAACATGATTTAACTTTTAAAAAAATTTCAAAATGTATTTTTTTAATATTAAAACGATAACATATTAGATCGACGAGAACTTTATAACTTAACCCTCCAAACTCATAATCGGATGATGAACTCCATCGAGTTTCAAAACTTTGTTTTCTCAAACTAATTTTTACTTAATAATATAAAAATAAGAATAAATACATATAAAATTGAGTACCAACCAAATACTGAAATGTTTGTTTGAAACTATGATAACTTTATAGAAATCAAATTATGCAGACCAATTCAAAATCAACCAAATATTAAAGGATAACATTAATTAGAAAAAAGTTAAAAGATTTTCTTTTTTAAAAAAGAAGGAAAGTACTTGGATTTGTTATCATACCCAACACAACAAGTTTTTCTTAATATGAAAATAATGACATATTAAATCGACTTGAACTTCATAACTTAATTTGCAAACCCATAATTTGGATTATGAACTTTGGTTTAAAAACTTTGTTTTCTTTAAACTATTTTTTATTATATGGTATGATAATAAAAATAGATGTTTGTAAATAATGAGCATCAATCAAATATTAATATGTTTTTTGATATTACGATAATCTCATAACAAATCAAAATAAATTATGATGATCAATTTAAAATCAATAAAATATTAAAGAATAAAATTAAAAAATTTAAAAGATATATTAAAAAATAAAAATCATTTTAAAAAAGTGTATATAACCTAATCACTAAATTTTTTTTCAACTGTCTTATAAGAGAGTATAATCTCTTATCACTAAGTGGAATTTTTTTTTTAATATTTAATCAAATTTTCATATTTGCATAAAAATATAGGAGTATGAATATGATTATTATTAAATATATTTGGCCATACAGGCTAATTGAAGACTCATTTAACTTGTATGAATATATTTATTATTGTAATATAAGATGTTTTTTAAAAATACTTTTCTACATAAGTTAATTGTGATATGATTGATCTAGTTAAGATCTATTAGTTTTATTTTTTTAAATAACAATATTTTGATATTTTTTAAAAATATATTGATATAAACTAACCTAGCTGAACACACCTGATTCAGAATTATTGATATAAACTGGCCTAGTTTAACAAGTCCAATTCATGATCGGAATATCTAGCCGGAATAACTTTTGATAACACGAGGGAGATGTGACAGATATAAAAAGGTGCTGGTAACTTGTGGCAAGAAAGTACGTAAATGGGTAGTGCGTGCCATAAAACTAGAACAAAGGACAGAGGCTTCTTCTCATTCTCAACCATCCAATCTAAATCCAACTGTTGAGAATGAATCTTTGACCAGATATAACTTGAAGATTCGATTTCACTGTTCTACAAGCAGGCACAGATAATTTATTTTCATCGACAAATCTTCCCCGTGCATCTTCATGGTACTTATACACGTCCAGATATCTGACACGTGTCCATTCATGATTTACAAAGAAGATTGAGCTTTCACTCTGGCTTGGCTCGAGTCTTAGGTGGGCCATATGATGACTTGGAAATAGTATCTCGTGGGCCCACGTGATGACTTGGCAGTAGTGTCCGAAGTTCTGTAGTCTAAGTACTAGGTCTGGTCTTTTGAGTTACGTGGCAGTGTCCCATTTGCTGGTTTAAAATTATTTTTGTTGGCTGAAAGGACTTTTACTGTTTGACAATAAGAAGAAGATCTTTCCCTGCAGTGAAATAGTAATTACATGCACTTGGGATTCAGAGGCATGACTGAATATACGGGGGACAAATTGGTCAATTAGCTTATAAGTTAAAAGGAAACGGCAAATCAATAGGGATATAAAAAGTTTTGCTGAAAGTACATTTAAATGTCATGACCATGATATTTAATTAATTTTGTTGTTTAGAAATATAATATATAATTAATGTTATGTTTCAGAATGTATTAATTGAATATTACATTTTTAAATTACAATATCAATAAAACTTTAATAGACATCCCAACTATTCCATAAAAATTCTAGCAACAAATTTTCTTGTATCTAAATCTAACAAAGGAATAATTCTTAAGAGATTTATTGTTTAGTTTATTAATGTGATATTTAATTTAATTAATAATTTTAGAGAGTATTTGTTTTAATTTTAATAAAATTTAGACAAAATTTTCTCTATATAAAAATTATTCACATAATTCTATCTTATTTTAAAAAACTTATAAGGAGTCACAATAACCTATCACAACAAATTCTCATATTTTATAATCACAAGTAGCCTTATACACACACACACATACACATACAAAATAAATCTCATATTTAAATAACACAACATTCTAATAATTGAAATCCCAAAACATATCAACATAATCCATTTATCTGTCTATGTCTATATTGTCTATTAGATAATTCGGGTTCATCAATAACACTAATGCTTCCTGCTCCTGCTTATTCTCGAGTAACTGACATGATCAAAATATTGATGTCTTCTCCCAAGTGTAGGAATATTGAAGTAATAAATAACTCGGCAAGATCGGGGTCGAACCACATGAAGGTTAACTATATAAATAACAACAACAACAACAATAATAATAAGAAAAAGAAGAAGAAGAAGAAGTTAAAAAGGACTTTAAGATGTAAGATTAATGTGCGGATTAAACAATGATAAAAACAAATGTCAAGGTTAGAAAATTCACTAATGATATTTTAAATAAATATAGTATAAACTCTTTTTATTACTCAACTAAAAACCACACACAAAGGATGTTCCAATTGAATTATAAATTATTAACATGATTACATTAGTTATCTTATTCAAATAATGCTAATACTTGTAAATATTATCAGGTATTCAAGATTATAACTTATGTTAACAAAAAATCAAGTTCCTTTCATAGCATAAGTGTAGGTTATACCATACGGTTGGGCTATGAAAGTGTCAAGTATTTGTTGTACCAAGTGCTATACAACACAAATCTAGATTAACCATTTAACAAGCAAAGTATTAAAAGTGAACAAGATAACAAATACAAAACATGTTAGTATCAAGCATTAAGGTCCATGTTGAGTTTATACTATACTTATTCTTACACCATTAGAGTAACATTTTCACCTTGACATAATAAAATTAACTAAACATAATGAAAGAGAAAAACATAAATAAACAATATAAGAACATAAATAAGATATGAGTTAATTAAGTAAAGGA